TGGGACTGGAACGTGATGCCCATCCCAGTGCCGAGCTGTCAATGAAGATAACCTATCGCCTACCGAGGGGCCAGAAAACGGTCACCTTTGTCGACATGACTTGGAATATTTGTGAGGCATTGGTGAACCTTAAGGGCATACCGATAGTAAATAGAATATTTTTGGAACTAATGCGAACGACTAGTTTGCCCTGTAAATGTCCCATCAGGGGGGTGAGTTGGAGTGTTCTCTCATTTCATTTAATGAGAACTTTTGATATTGGCTTCTCTTCGGCTTCTTTTTAGAAAACTATTTATAATATCACAAATTTTATGCTTACCGAGGACTATATACCACCCTATGCCCCGATAATGGATTTTAATTATTCCCTAACCGTAACTGAACATAAGAAATTTGTCGGCTTCTATTTGGTGCAGGGTTCGACAGTTCCAAAGGCCAAGAACAATAAAAGGAAGAATAATACATATACACACGAGTTTGGATTTGGAAAGAGAACTTAAAGAAGGTTTTCAAAAAAAAAAAAAAAAAAAAAAAAAACAAGTAAAAAAGCAGTAAGTTCGGCCGGGCCGAACTTTGAATACCCTCCACCATTTGGAACGAATTAGAAAAGTTTCAAAAAATTAAATCCATTACAAATTCTGTTAAAATCTTTAAAATACCTAACATCGGAAGGTGCCGACATATTGGGGGATATATATACAATTCTCTTTCGGGGGGTAAATTACTAACAAGGGTCCCCTTGTGTGGAATTTCAGACAATTCCATTGAAAAATGTGGTTAAAATCAACAAAATACCGAATATCGGGGGGTACCGTTATATGGGGCTATACGATATCGTGGACCGATATAGCCCATCTTCGAACTTGACCTGCCTGCAGAAAAAAAAAAAGATCTGTGCAAAATTTTAGCTTCCTATCTTAATTCGTTTTAACTGTAGCGTGATTACAACAGACGGACAGACGGACGGACAGGGCTAAATCGTCTTAGAATTTATCGCTGATCAAGAATATATATAATTTATTGGGTCTAAAATGATTATTTCGATGAGTTACAAACGGAATGATGAACCTAATATACCCTCCATACTATGTATGGTGGAGGGTATAAAAAAATCACTTTGAAAGCCCTGTAAAAATTTGGGGAAAATTTTGGAGAAAAATAAGGACCAAAAAGCTCAGACTTCTGTTTTCAAAAATCAGGGAAATTTTAAATATAAGTCCCGGAAGGTAATTTAAAAATCTACACAAAATTTAAAAAATCTACAAAAAAAAAAAAAAAAAAAAAAACACCAAGAATATTTTTTCTTAAAAACCTCTATTTGAGGTCCTTTGAGGAAAAAAACGTTGAAAAATGTCCTGAAGATCCTGGGAAATAATAAAATAACTATTCATAGAAATTCTAGGTTTAAGGCCCTGAAAATAGAGATATATATGCATAATATCCAAATTTTGAGGTCAGAAAATCCTCTCATACGTTCTCAAAAAAAAAAAAAATAAAATCAAACTATGGGTACTGAAGATCAGATCCCAGGTTGAGAGAAACATATACAGGGTGAGATGAAAAAAAAAACTGCAACCAACTTCAGACTGCTGTCATTTCTAAGCCACCCGTCCGACAGCTGCTAAAATTATTCCAGCGACAGCTCATTATATTGTTTACATTGCGTACAAAAGAATTTTGGTGAGAATTTTCCAGAAAAAAAGTTATTCGTGATGGAATTCAAGCGCGATGTGCGATTTCTTTATATTTGGCTTGAAAACCACAAGTGGCTATCGTTAGAGCACTCCAGGATTTAAATGTGAATAAATCTTTTTGTCTCGTACCATCGCTCGTTACCGTGATACTGGTAGCGTGGTCCGACGTCAAGGAAGTGGACGGAAGAAAATAGCAACATCAGCAGAAATGCTTCGAAAAGTAAAGAAGCGACTTGGTCGAAACCCGCGTCGCAATGGCCGAAAAAGTGGCTCGTGAGCTGAACATATCGCAATATTTCATTTGGCAAATATTGAAAAATGAGCTCGGGGTAAAGCCATTGAAATTCCAAAAAGTGCAAGAACTTATACCGCAACAGGAAGAAAATAGGCTCAAAAGAGCCTAAAGGAACCTAAAGAGCTAAAGAGTTGCTTCGCTTGGCCAAAAGTGATGAACTGCCGAATTTGGTTTTCTCAAAACAAAATGATCGCGTTTACTTGCCAAAGAGGTCAGCTGAAAATGTGCACCTTCGGTTGGCCACCAGAACTCAAGCGCCGGCCATGGTGAAGGTGTTGGGCGCCATAACAGCCAATGGTGGTTCTTCGCTCGTATTAATCGACTGTGGCATCAGGATAAATGCCGACCATGATGATGGTGTTGGGCTCCATAACAGCCGATGGTGGCTCTTCGCTCGTATTAATCGGCCGTGGCATCAGAATAAATGCCGAATATTATCGCGAAAATATTCTGGAGGGTGTATTAAAGCCTTGGGCACGTAAAAATTTCTGACGTAGACCTTGGACATTCCAACAAGACTCAGCACGCGGCACCCAAGAAAGGTTACAAAATGAGGTTCCTCGCTTCATTTCCAGCTCACAATGGCCACCAAAATTTCCGGATACCAATCCGTTGGACTATTGTGCCTGGAGTATTTTGGAAAGCAAGGTTGACACTAAAAAATACCAAAGTGTCGATCACCTCAAGCAAGCGCTTCGTCGGGAATGGGCCAAAATACCGCAGAACAACACTCAAGCAGCGTGTGACGGTTTCATTGGCCGTTTGAAGGCCATAATTCGTGTCAAAGGTGACCAATTCGAACAAATCTAAACTTATTCTAAAATTTGATGCTACTTCCGAGTTTTTTTGCTTTTATTCAATAAAATTTAAAAAAAGTTAAAATTATGGCTTATTTGCAGATTTTTTTAGCTCACCCTGTAATTGTTCGAAAAGTACTAAGTGGTACAAAATATGATATTGGGTGAAGGCATTGTTCCGAAATTCGACATTATGGCCTCTGTTGGTTTGAGAAAAATTCAAGTTGAGAGCTCTGAAATCCAGGCCAGATCAATTGATGTCGATGGCTCCGTTGGTCCTTCAAAAATTATTTGAAAAAGTTGGTCAATGAAAAAAAAAAAAATATTTTAAAAATCCGCTTTGAAGACTGTAAAAATTATGGGAAAATGTTAAAAAAAGGACCAAAAAGCTCAGACTTCTGGAAAATTTTAATTAGAAGTCCCGGAAGGTTGGTCCTTCAAAAAATAGTTGAAAAAGTTGATCACTGAAAAAAAAATATTTTTAAAAAATCCGCATTGAAGACTCTGTTGGGGTTTGATTTTTTTATCGACGTTCTTAGTTTAATTGGTTCTTAAGAAGACATATTTTTTTTTTTTTTGGGAGACTCTGGAAGTTCTTCAAACAATTTTTGTGGAAAAATCCACGATGGAGGCTTGAAAAGTCCTTCCTTATTTTTTAAATCACATGATTGAAGCTCCCAAAATCTTTACAAGATATTCATAAAAATTCCCCGTTAAAGCCTCTGAAAGTCCTTCAAAATAATATTATAATAATAATAAAAATCTTGAAAATTCCACATTTTAAAAATCCGCTTTGAAGACTCTATGGAGGTTTAATTTTTTTATCGACGTTCTTAGTTTAATAGGTTCTTAAGAAGACATATTTTTTTGGGAGACTCGGAAAGTCCTTCAAACAATTTTTGTGGAAAAATCCACGATGGAGGCTTGAAAAGTCTTTCCTTATTTTTAAAATTCCATGATCGAAGCTCCTAAAATCTTTACAAGATATTCATAAAAATCCCTCGTTAAAGGCTCTGAAAGTCCTTCAAAATAATATTGAAAATCTTAAAAATTCAAAAATTTCAAAAAATTTTCGAAAGATTTCAACAGAGATACTTTTTTAAAAAAGGTCATCAGGATTTTTAAAATATATTTTGTCCCAGGATTTTGCAGGAATTTTTAAAAATATTTTTGAAAAAACCAGGTCTTGGAAAGTCCTTAAGGCAAATCTTCATATTTTTAGGTGAATTTTTGAAAAATATTTCAAAACCATCCTGGAAATCCTGGACAAAATATATTTTTAATATCCTGAATTTTTAGTGAACCTTTTTTTTAAATAACTATCTCGGCAGAAATAAATGCTCCTTTGTAGGGCACAAATTCGTACCTTTCATGCCATTCTGGAAGTCCTTCGAACAATTTTTGTGGAAAAAATCCGCCATGGAGGCTTGAAAAGTCCTTCCTTATTTTTAAAATCCATTGATTGAAGCTTCTCAAATCTTTACAAGATATTCATAAAAATCCCCCATCATAGGCTCCTTCAAAGTCCTTCAAAATAATATAGAAAATCTTAAAAATTCCACAATTGAGGCCTGTGAAAGAATTTTTATTTCAACAGAGATACTTATTTAAAAAAAGGTCATCTTTAAATTCAGGATTTTGCAGGAAGTTTTAAAAATAGTTTTGAAAAATCCAGGTTAACGTCTTGGAAAGTCCTTTAGGCGATTCTTGATATTTCTAGGTGAATTTTGAAAAATATTTCAAAAACATCCTGGAAATCCTGGACAAAATATATTTTAAAAATCCTGAATTTTTAGAGGACCTTTTTTAAATAACTATCTCGGCAGAAATAAAAGTTCCTTTGTAGGGCACCAATTGGTGCTCTTCATGTCATTACCGTACCCTCTATAATTAGACCTCATTGTGGTTTTCGATCTAAGATATAGCCTGGTTATTACGAATTCCCATTAAATATTCAATTTGGCGAAAAATGAATAAAACGTAATTACATTCTGGTTAATAGAGGCCGAAACTCAGCTCAAATTTAGAACGGACCCATTCAGTTGTTGAACACGCCGCCGAAAAGAAAATAATGCTCACCAAACGGATATTGATTTTGATCGTCATGCTTGGCTGGCCCATATATAGCCAGGTAATTATATATACAAATACATTTTAGTTGTTGTTATTGTAATTTTAGACCATTTTTAAAAGTCCGCCAGCAAGGCCAGCAATATGAATGTGGAATTTCTCAACTTTAGCTGCCATGCTCCACCACCTTTGGTCAAGCATTACAACTGTGAATTTCATGAGCTGTCTACGAGTCGTTATGTTTTCAACATTGATTTCGAATTAAGTCGCAAATTACCCGAACACGCCATGATCGCCATTATGGTACATTTCAAAGCTCGCGACAGCCAGCGAGTGGTGAAATTTATCGATTTAAAGTTGAAGATCTGTGATGTGCTGGGCAACATCAATACCCTGCCGGTGGTCAAGAAGGTGTTGGATAGTTTAATGCAGAATAGTAATTTGCCAATGTCGTGTCCCATCAAGGGGGTGAGTTTGTGGGGGAGATTTGTATTTTTGTTATTTTCTTTTCTAATATTCTGTTGTTTCTTTTTCAGAATTTTCCATATCGCATAACAAATTTGACGATAAGCGACGAGAATATGATCAAATATATTCCAGCAATGCATTTCAATATAACCTTGATATTCTCCGATAGACAGAAACAATTGGGCAAGGTTCTGGCACAGGGTTTGACAGAGGCAAGGGGATGAAAGGAAAATACGACATACAATCTTTTCAATATTGATTTAGAGCTTAAAATAAATTACGAAATACATTTGAAGAAGAAAAATATATAAACTAACTATTTTTCGGAACTTTAAAATTAATTTTTTTTCGGAATATTTATAAAGGGCTTTCGAGGATTTTTAAAATTATTTTTAAAAAACCCATCAGCAGGCTAAGCTTTGCTTTTTTTGATTTATTTTTTTCATTGGATTTTTAAAGTTTTTTTTTTCAAAAGGCTATCTTGGATTTTTTCGAGAACTTCGGTGTTACAAACTTGGATTTGTGGACTTTTCGGTGGAAGATTTTTAAAGGTAGGACCTTCGGTGATATAAAATTATATTTTTTGTAGATTTTTCCAAGGACTTTTTCCAGATTTTTTTTATAGATTTTTCAAAGACTGAACATGGATTTTTCCAATTTTTGGATTTTTTAAATAAGGAAGAACTTTTCAAGCCTCCATCGTGGATTTTTCCACAAAAATTGTTCGAAAAACTTCCAGAGTCTCCCAAAAAAAATGTGTCTTCTTAAGAACCAATTAAACTAAGAACATCGATAAAAAAATCAAACCCCAATAGAGTCTTCAATGCGGATTTTTTAAAAATATTTTTTTTCAGTGATCAACTTTTTTGAACTAATTATTTGAAGGACCAACAGAGTTATCGACTTAAATTTATCTGGACTTGAATTTTTCTGAAACCAACAGAGGCCATAATATCGAATTTCGGTATTTGGGACCTATACCTACACCCAATACCAAATTTTGTACCACTTAGTACTTCTGGAACAATTACAGGGTGAGATAAAAAGTACTGCAACGAAGTCAAACACCATAATTTTTAAATTTTTCTAAGTTTTATTGAAGAAAGCAAAAAATGTCGGAAGTAGCATCAAATTTTAGAATAAGTTTAGATTTGTTCGGAAAGGTCACTTTTGGCACGAATTCTGGTCTTCAATTATGGTCTGAAAAATTTCATTGGAAACTCTTCAGAAAAAATATTGAAAATGAAAGTTCTTGGGATAAATTCTCTAACGGCTCCATACAAAAGTTCTTGGAAATTTTTGAAAAAAAAAATCAAAATTAAGTCCTGGGAAAATCCATTCAAAAAACTTCTTGAAAAGCCCTGAAAATCCTTAAAAAATCACAAAAGAGACCTTAGAAAACCCGTTGCAAAATCTAGAGAAAGTCCTTGGAAAAAATTCACCATGATGAAAAAACCAGATGTAAAAACTGTAACCAACTTCAGACTGCTGTCATTTCTAAGCTACTCGTCCGACAGCTGTTAAAATTATTCCAGTGACAGCTCATTCTATTGTTTACAAACATACAAAAGCATTTTGGTGAGAATTTTTCAGAAAAAAAGTAATTCGTGATGGAATTCAAGCGGGATAGTGTGATTTCTTTATATTTGGCTGGAAAATCACAAGTGGCTGGAGCTACAGAGAGACTAGTTCTAGAGAGAGGATAAAGCAAGTGATTAGAGCATTCCAGCATTTAAATGTAAATAAATTTTTTTGTGTCTCGTACCATCGCTCGTTACCTTGATACTGGTAGCGTAGTCCGACGTCAAGGAAGTGGATGGAAGAAAACAACCGAGTCATCAGCAGAAATGGTTCGAAAAGTGAAGAAACGACTTGATCGAAAAATGGCTCGTGAGCTAAACATATCGCAATATCCCATTCGGCAAATATAAAAAAATGAGCTCGGGGTAAAGTCATTGAATTTGCAAAAAGTACAAGAACTTAGTCCGCAACAGAAAGAAAATGGACTCAAAAGAACTAAAGAGTTGTTTCGCTTGACCGAAAGTGGGATTCTGCCAAATTTGGGTTTCTCCGATGAGAAAACATTCGTTGTCCAGCAGTTTGTAAAGAACCAAAATGATCCGCTCGCGTTTAGTTGCCAAAGAGGTCAGCTGAAAATGTGCACTTTCGGTTGGCCACCAGAACTCAAGCGCCGGCCATGGTGATGGTGTGGGCCACCATAACAGCCGATGGTCGTTCTCCACTCGTATTAATCGACCGTGGCATCAGAATAAATGACGAATATTATCGCGCAAAAATATTCTGGAGGGTGTATTAAGGCCTTGGGGCACGCAAACATTTTGGCCGAAGACCTTGGATATTTCAACAGGACTCAGCACCATCGCACTCAGCACGCGCTCCTCCAAGTATGATTACAAAATGAAGTTTCTCGCTTCATTTCCAGCGCACAATGGCCACCAAAACCTAGAGTATTTTGGAAAGCAAGGTTGGCACTAAAAAATACCAAAGTGTCGATCACCTCATGCAATAGTTTCGCCGGGAATGGGCCAAAATACCGCAAAGCAACATTCCGGCAACGTGTGACGGTTTCATTGGGCTTTTGAAGGCCATATTTCTGTGCTAAAGGTGATCAATTCGAACAAATCTAAACTTATTCTAAAATTTGATACTATTTCCGACATTTTTTGCTTTCATTCAATAAAATTCAAAAAAAAAAAAAACAAGTAAGCAAAGGCTACAGTCGAGCGGGGCCGACCGTTGAATACCCTACAACACTATAATAATTGATACAGATTATATAGGCCAGATACTCGAAAGAATTCCACAAGCTATTGTGACAAATAATAAAAGAAAACCATCAGGTTTCGTTCTCTAATTTTCGAATAATAGAAACTTGAACTAATTTGCTCATTTCCAATTTATTGGAAGATGTTGCACGTAAATGGTCTTCCTAGATCTGGAACCAATATTTCCCAAAGACCTATAATCTCTCAGAAGTGGCAAAATATTAACATTTATTATTGGTTTTTGACTGAAACGCATCTATATGAGATACAGACATTTGACTATATTCTTCAACGAAATCAGCGTTAACGAAATAGTCAGAAGTGCGTCTTTCCTTTATTTGTGAATTCTCCAAAAAGTCACTGGAATGGACATTTTTGTATTTTGTCTACAAAAGTTGGCAAACTATTTCACACATTGAATATTTTTGGATGGCCATCCAAAACTGCTTGGCTTTTGCAATGTCCGGTAACCCCCATTCAAATGTGCGTGAGGATCGGGCGATAATTAAGACCTGTTGATAATTTTGCAGTTTTTTGGTCCATTTCAACCCCTAAATATATGGCGATCATCTCCAAAAAGAGTAGGCTTCTATTCTGACCCTCATCTTATCCCCATGCAAAATTTCGTAAGGATTTCGTAACTACTTAGTTTTGTTAGCTGTAGAAATATTACCAAATGTTTAATTCAAAATGAAAATATGACAAAATTGAAAAAATATGAGAAAATTTTACAAAATCAATATTTTCATCTTTAGAGAGATATTTTTATGCGATTTTTTAGACGTTTTTTCTTTCCTGACAAGAGGCCATTCTGAATTAATGAGAACTGTCGAAATCAGTTCAGCCGTTCTCGACATATAAGAGATCTTTCATGCATATCTTCTTTGATAGACATATATATCGCACATATTTTGCTATATATCCGTTTTGTTGGATGTTAACATCAATGTAAGGATCAGAAGTAACCTTGTCATGGCTTTGCGATTTCGCCGGGATTTAAAATATTCGCGGTTTAATGAAAAATTTTGAATTTCTTCAACACAAAAGATATGGTCTATTTTACCCGCTAAATATTATCCGATGACCACCCAAATTGGTAGGCTTCTTCCCCGCCCTAAACTCTAGCTACATGTGAAATTCCGCGTCGATTGGTCTATAATTGCGACCTGTATAGCTACTGCAAAATCCGGCATTTTTTTAGTATTTGTTCCATTTCAATCCCTAAACATTTGGCGATCATCTCCAAAAGAAATAGGGTTCTATTCTGACCTTAACCCCACCTACATTCTAAATTTCGTGAAGATCGGGCCATAATTGCGACCTGTAGAGTGATTACAAATTAACATGGACAGACGGACAGACGGACGGACGGACGGACATACATAGCTAGATCGACTCAGCTCGGCGAGCTAGGAAGATCCTATATGGGAAACCAATATTTCGAGGTGTTACATAAATTCTGGCCCAATCAAACTTATAATACCCCCAACACATAGTGTTGTAGGGTATAAAAATTAATAAAAACTATGGAGTTTGACTTTGTTGCAGTTTTTTTATCTCACCCTGTATATTCTTCGTTATATCTAAAAAAAAGTATTATTTCGATGATGTATGTAAAAAAAATTGTATATTAAAGTATACCAATTGGGCGCCATTTTTTTGATGATTAAGATTTAAAGATCACTTGTGAAATTGAAATGGGTTATTTCGATGTTGATCTATACCTTAGCCGCCCCCCCCCCCCCCCAAATGAGAAAGAAACGTTTTGTGGGAAAATGGAAAATTTGTCAAAAATAAATTTTCAATTACCTCTAAATTGCGATATTTTCAAATGCTATTATTAGCAGCAAATATTTGATAGGCAATGTTGTCAAGCTAAAAATCAACTCTCGATTGCCTTTTGATTGATTGGTAGATATATTTTTTTTTTTGATTGTCTACGTTTTTTTTTGATAGTTCATTAAATTTAATTGTCCGCTGAAAAGCCATTAAATGTAAATAATTAGTTTATGTAAGTCTGATGACCTTATTAAGCACACAGGGTGAAGCAAAATACGGGTGCCTTAGTAGAATAAGTTATTCTTCTAAGAAATCAATTTATGAGAGTCTGGAAATCTTTGAAAAAGGATCATTAATGGAGTTTTTACATCGAAATACCTAAGGTTGAAATTTTTTAATTTTTTTTTGGCCTACCCTGTATTGGTGCCAGACATAGGCCCAACGAGGTCACACTTTAAAATAACTTAATTCGTCCGTAACTAAACTAAATTTAAATTTTCCAAAAAGAAAAAAATATAATCATTTTGTTCAAATTATGTAATGAAGATTTCCAATCATTCTATTCGCGCCTTACAATCCCATTCGCTCAGAATGCTTAAAATATTCCTCTCAACATTTGTTCTGATTAGTTTTGGTTTAGGCAAAAATTCCCAGGTAACTTTTCAAAACATCCAAATAAAATATTTTCTTCATTACATCAGCCTTTCAGCTCTCTGCCACTACCTTCAATTTAGAACTCTACAACATGACATGGATCAAACACTCCGATAACTTTCTAAAACAGGGCGGTGGAAATATCACAAAATTGGCGACGAACCATTACTCGGTCAATGTATGGTTTGAATTCGAACATGATTGGGCCAGAAATTCGGAGCTTCGGATAATGATTCGTGTCAAACCACAGAAATCCACAAAGATTTTGACTTTCTTCGATGCGAAATGGAATGTCTGTGATGCCTTGCGAACATTTAAGGCAGCGCCGATGGTGGACTATATCTATACGGAATTGAAAAGGAAATCAAATTTTCTCAGATCGTGTCCCATTAAGGGGGTATGTTAAATCCATGCCTTTTCAAAATTGTTGCAACATATATACGTTTCTTTCACTCTCTTCCAGAACAAATTCTACTGGGTGAGAGATTTCATAATCACCTCAGATGCCTTTCCCTCGTATACGCCATATTTAAGCTTCAATTACTCGGCAATGTATTATGAGAACAAAAAACTTTGTGTCGAACATATGGTACAGGGTGCAATAGTTCCGAAAAATTAAAAGGGAATGTTGAAAAAAAAAATACATGTGTGCTTATATCAGGCGAATACACTAAATATTCCGAATTGTTAATTTTTAATAATAAACAAATAAAAAAACATTAAGTTCGGGCTGGCCAAACTTTTAATACCCTCCACCATTTGGTACAAATTTGGCATTAAAAAAAAAATCCGTAAAAATTCTGTTAAAATCTTAAAAATACCGAATATAGCTATTATATTAGGGTCTATACGACGACATGAACCTGCGTAGGTAAGATTTGTTATAAGCCATTACAATATTCAAATGCGCAACTTATAAAAAAAAACCGGTTATAATGTCGATAAAATCAAATATCGGGAGGTATCGTTATATCGGAGCTGTGCGAAGACCTGGACCAGCATAGATAATATTCTGTCATAGGCTGTAGCATCCATTACGAACTTCAAATACGACATCTCAAACAATTTCGGTGGGTATTGTACCTATACTCGTCAAAATACCGAATATAGGGAGGCACTGATATAGGGAGGTACTGATATAGGGAGGTACAATATCGGGAGGTACCGTTATAATGGGGGCTATACGTAGACGTGGACCTGCACAGACAATTTTCTGTCTTGGCTGCAGTATCCATTACGAACTTTAAATACCAAATTTGAAACTATTCCGAAAAATGTCGCTAAAATCATCAAAATACCAAAAAATCGGGAGGTATCTTTATATGGCGGCCATACGTGAACGTGCACAGACAATTTTCTGTCTTAGGCTGTAGTATCCATTACGAACTTTAAATACCAAATTTGAAACAATTCCAGTGAATAAATTCGCTAAAATAATTAAAATACCGAATATAGGGAGGTACGGATATATGGGGCCTATTCGAAGACCTGGACCTGCATAGACAATTTTCCGTCATAGACTGCAGTTCCCATTTCGAACTCTAAATACGAAATTTGAAAATATTCCGGTGAATAATGACGCTAAAATCACCAAAATATCGAATATAGGGAGGTACCGTTATATCGGAGCTGTGCGTAGACCTGGACCAGCATAGATATTATTCTGTCATAGGCTGTAGCATCCATTACGAACTTCAAATACGAGATCTTAAACAATTTCGGTGAGTATTGTACCTAAAATCGTCAAAATACCGAATATAGGGAGGTACTGGTATATGGAGCCTATACGAAGACCTGGACCTGCATACGCAATTTTTTTCATATGCTGTAGTTCCCATTACGTACTCTAAATACGAAATTTGAAACAACTCCGATGAGTAATGTCCCTAAAATCCCAAAATATTGAATAGCGGGGGGAGTACCGTTATATGGGGGCTAAACGATATCGTGGACCGATATAGCCCATCTTCAAACCTGACCTGCCTGCAGACAAAAGACTGATCACAGATCAAAATTGTAGCTTCCTACCTTTATTCGCTTTGACTCTAGCGTGATTACAACAGACGGACGGATGGACAGGGCTAAACCTCTAATTCACTACCATTGTTTGAGCTATGATACGGTACTGTGATCCAAAGTTCCTGAGGAACATCAACCCAAACTCCGAAGCTCCCGTGTAAATAAATTGCCGAACACTCTATCTAACCGGCATTACCAGACGAATGAGAATTATTTGCCTTATCCGGTGTTTCCAACTAACGATTCTGTTAGCCGGAGGACTGAAGATGATTCAGAAAATCACTAACTATCCTTTGGCAAGCAGCCTGCAACAGTAGCAAGCCCTCCCTTAGAGTAACACAAATCGAACACTCTATCTGACCGGAATTACCAAGTGAATAAGGATTATTTGTATTATGCGATATTTCCAGCTAATGATTCTCTTTGTCGGAGGACAGAAAATGTTTCCGAGAATCAAAATATTTCCTTTGGCAAGCACCCTGCAACGGCAGCAAACCCTCCCTCAGAGTAACACAAATTAAACAATCTATCTGACCGGCATCACCAAGTGAATAAGAATTATTTACCATATGCAGTAAATGGCATGTGGCGGAAGGCTGAATTGTATTCTTTTCGAACTTCTCCACTGTCATAAGGTTTGCCTTTATCGGAGCCTTTTCTCCATCCGAACTTCTTACAGAACTTCACTGACCACTTGTATCACCTCCTGGCTAGAATCACTGCGGGTTTTAAGGGGATGCTGGCGAAAGTGACTCCTAAAAGAGAGAGAGCAGAGAGAGAGAGAGAGAGCTCCAATGAAAGACCAATTTATGTGATTAATTGGAATTCTGAAGATGTGACGGGACCAGATCCTTTTTTTCTCTCTCTCTCGCTCCCCCTCTCTCTCTCTCGCTCCCCCTCTCTCTATCTCTCGCTTCCCTCTCTCTCTCTCGCTCCCCTCTCTCTCTCTCGCTCCCCTCTCTCTCTCTCGCTCCCCTCTCTCTCTCTCGCTCCCCTCTCTCTCTCTCGCTCTTCCCCCCTCTCTCTCTCTCTCGCTCTTCCCCCCTCTCTCTCTCTCTGTCTTCCCCCTCTCTCCCTCTCTCTGTCGCTCTCTGAGAGATCGTCTCAACCAATGAACTTCTTACAGTACTTTACCACTTGTAATCCACTTGAAACCTCTCTTGGCTTTGGCCTCCCTTGAGCCAGAGTCACCGCGGGCTATTGGCTTGCTGATAGGTGCGTTGCCCGCAACCTGAGTGCTGTGAGGAGAATTCCCAGTGGTTTTTTGATTCGACTCGACTCTTAAAGATGAAGGCAAAATCAAGTTCCTCATCAGAGAGAGGCGAATTATTCCCAAAACCGGATAGAACACTGAGCCTCAGCTTCTCGATTTTTTTTTTCAAGGAGGGCGAAAAATTGTCTCTCGTCAAAATTTGAAATCACGTCCTTGATCATGTCCTTGGTCGATGCTTCCACAGAAGCTGTTTGGTTGATGGTGTCTTTATACCCTCCACCTTGGAAAGGAGGGTATATTAACTTTGTCATTCCGTTTGTAACATCCTTAAATATTCGTCGGAGACCCCATAAAGTATATATATTCATAAACAGCATAAAATTCTAAGTCGACTTAACGATGTCCGTCTGTCTGTCTGTCTGTCCATCTGTTGAAATCAGGATACAGCCCACATTATTTGACGTAGAGCGCCAAAATTTAGCAGAGCAATTGGTATTGTGTCTAGGATGGTTGGTATTGAAAATGAGATATATCGGTCCACGTTCTGATATAGTCCCCATATAAGGGTACCTCCCGATATTCGGTATTTTGATGATTTATGCCACATTTTTTTTCACGGATTTGTCTGAAAATTGGTATTTGTAGGTCATTACGGGTCCCTGTACGTGTGGCAAAATATTGCATGTATAGGTCCACGTTTTGGTATAGCCCCCATATAATGGTACCTCCCGATATTCGATATTTTGATTATTTTTGCCACATTTTTTCACGGATTTGTCTGAAAATTGGTATTCGTTGCTCATAATGGGTTCCAGCTCCGGTGGCAAAACATTGCATGTATGGGTCCATGATTTGGTATAGCCCCCATATAACGTTACCTCCCTATATTCGGTATTTTGATGGTTTTTGCCACATTTTTTCACTGATTTGTCTAAAAATTGGTATTTGTGAGTCATAATGGGTCCTAGTTCGTGTGGCGAAGCATTGTATGTATAGGTCCACGTTTTGGTATAGTCCCCATATAACGGTACCTCCCAATATTCGGTATTTTGATGATTTTTGACACATTTTTTTACGAATTTCTCTGAAAATGTTGGTAGTTGTAGATCATAATGGGTCCCATTTCGTGTGGCGAATCATTGTAATTATAGGTCCACGTTTTGGTATAGCCCCCATATAACGGTACCTCCCGATATTCGGTAATTTGATGATTTTTGCCACATTTTTTCACGTATTTGTCTGAAAATTGGCATTTGTAGGTCATAATGGGTTCTAGCTCCGTTGGCGAAACCTTGCATGTGTAGGTCCACAATTTGGTATAGCCCCCATATAACGGTACCTCCCGATATTCGGCATTTTAATGGTTTTTTGCCACATTTCTTCTAATGTTTCCTTTACCTTAGGTGGAGGGTATTAAAAGTTTGGCCCGGCCGAACTTAATGTTTTTTTACTTGTTTTTTGTTAATTTTATCTTTTTCCATAAAAAGTCTGGACTGTGAAGGTAACGAGCTCCGCCAGAAAATGTTCTTCCTCCATATCGTGGAAGGAACTTGTTAACTAAGCCTGCTACTCCCCAAGGCGTCCAGATATAAACTAGACAATCGTTCAAATATAGTTGGGCGCCAATCACCCAAGGATCAAGGTCACCCTACATAAAAAGTGGGGACTGTGAATGCAATGAGCTCCGCCATAACATTTTCCTCCTCCATATCGTGGTAGGAACTTGTTAACTAAGCCTGCTACTCCCTAAGGCGTCCAGGTATCAACGAGGCAATCGTTCAAATGCAGTTGGGCGCCAGCAGCATGGCTTCGTCGGGTTAATGAATCAAGTTCAACCTGCTTATTTAATTCTCAACTACTATTGGCTATTTCAGTATCCTCATCCCACTAACTGAGAGGCGCCCAGGTATCAACGAGACAATCGTTCGAATAGGAAGTTTGGCGCCATTACCTTGGCCTCGTCGAGTCCAAGGATCAAGGTCACCCTACTTATTTAATTCACAGCTACCCAATATATCTATTGGACATTTTACTATCCTCGACCTTTGGATGCGTCCTATAACACTCAGCTATGCGTAACAACTATTCCGATTCTTTATCAGCTTTATTTGATTATTTGAATTTTTATTTACAAAATTTTACCATGAAACACACCGAACAATTTTTTTTTTCAAATCTCCCGAGTGGTGCTTCATACCTTCTTTTATTCTCTCTCTCTTTCTCTCTCTCTCTCTCTCCCTTGTCCATTTCAGCCCACCTTCTTCGGCGTCGTTCCATTGTGCCACACATATCCCTGGGTAAGAATTGAGGTAACTTTCATTTGATTCTCATAGAAATTCAAAGAATGATTAAAATTTAAGGCCGGCGTAAAAGGGGGTAGATATTCATTGGTAAAGGTAAAGTTGCGCATTTTATAGAGGAAATTCTAGAAAAAAAATAAATTGAAATTAATAAAATGTAGAAACTCTCTCATTGACACCAAAACCCACCGCCTTAATGGGACAGCCCAGCTTAACATTGAAGGACTTCTTCAATTCCCGATACAGATCAATGAGCAGTGGTATTGACTTGAAATTACTCAGAGAATCGCAAAGATTCAGACGCACATCGAAATAAGTAATTGGTCTAACACCCTTCACCGTCTTGACTTGGGTTAAGACACGAATTTCCGCACTGCGCACAAACTGGCGATAGAATTCAAAACTCAAATTAAAGCTATAATGATTGGGCGCCATTTTGGTATAACTGACATCGACATATTTTAAAAGATCACTGGTGTAATTGAAATAGGTAAAGTGGGTTATTTCGATGTTGATCGGTCCCTTGGCAGCCTAAAGGGAGAGAAAAAAATTTTTTGGATAGTGGAAAATTTTGAAAAAATTAATTTTCACTTACCTCGAAAATTGCAATATTTTCAAAAGCTATTATAAGCAGTAGGTATTTGACGGACATTGTTGTTACGCTAAAAATCAAATCTTGATTGGCTTAAATGATTGAATTTGTTGTGGTTGTCTACTATTTTCGGAGTTCAAAACATTTAATTGCCAATTGAAATTCCATTAGAGCTAAATAATTACTTTGTGTAGATTTGATGGCCTTGTTAAAAAAACAGGGTGAAGCAAAATGTTGCTGTTAAATTAGGATAAAATATTTAAGATTTGGGAGTTTTTTTAGAGATGCCACAAATTTTTATAGCTTCAGCCATATGGCTAGAGAGGGTATACAGGGTTGCCCATATTCGACGGACCCATCTGGCAACGCTATAACTTTTGACAGAGATGTCACATCGCTTAATGACATACCGCGTTTGAAGCGTCAGTCCAAGCAGATTTTTACCATGAACCAATACATGCCACGCGAGCGCTCTGAAATAGTTGAAGTTTACATTCAACAGAAGAAGTCAATTGTGAAATCTCAACGTGCTTTTAAAACATTAAAAAATGTGAGAAGTGCGCCTTCTAAGAACACCATTAAGCGTTTATACGAAAAATTTTCGACTGATAAGGCTCTTTCTAATCCGAAGAGGCCATATAAAAGTCGACCAAGGCGATCGGCCGAGAATATCGCTGCCGTACGAGCCAGTGTTGAGAGGTCCCCAAGAACATCCCAAAAACGCTGTTCTCGGCAGTTGGGCATGGCCCGGTCCACTTTACAACGGATTATTCGCATTGATTTGCGTACAAAATTCAATTGACGCAAAGAATGTTGCCTGCGGACAAGCCTCGTCGATTGGACAAGGTCCGTCGAATATGGGCAACCCTGTATATCATTTGATACGGCCAAAACTAGATCTCTTTGGGCCAAGTCCATTTCAGGACATTTGGAGTCGAACTAGTGATATCCCTCCGTCTTTCTGTCTGGCTGGTATGTACGACAACTCTCTCTTGGAGTATCCGATTTGGTCCAAACTTGGCACATCTTAATATTATTATAAAACTTAAATCGAGTTCGGAGATGGACAATATCAGCCCACTCCTTCTTTTGTGGGGGAGGACAAAAGGTCGAAATTTTCAAAAAATTATATTTTCTGCACAGAAAGAGAAACGATAATCCGATTTTGCTCCAACTTTACAAATCCTCATATTTGCATCAGTTCGAGGTCAGGTGCAAAAATGGACAATATCGGTCCTCCCCCACAAAGGGTCAAAGTTTTGAATAATTATAACTCTTATAAAATGTGACGTAGGGGTCCGATTGTCTTCAAATTTCAAATATTCCAATATTTTTAGGGTGTTAAAATGGCGTATATCGGTCCACTCCTCCTGGTACCTCCCCCACAAAAGATCGAAATTTTCTAAAATATATTTTCTGCACAGAAAGAGAAACGATAATCCGATTTTGCTCCAACTTTACAAATCCTAATATTTACATCAGTTCGAGGTTAGGTGCGAAAATGGACAACATCGGTCCACTCTATCAAGTACCTCCCCCCACAAAGGGTCAAAATTTTGAATAATTATAACCCCTATAAAATGTGATGTAAGAATCCGATTGTCTTAAAATGTCACATATCCCAATATTTTTATAAACCCAAGATCTGGTGTTAAGGTGGAATATATCGGCCCACTTCTTTTGGTACCTCCCCCACAAAAGGTCGAAATTTTGAATATCCATGAAGCTCATAAAACGCGAAATCAACATCCGATTCCATTCAGACTTGGCACATCCCGATATTTCTATCAACAGAAGATCTGTTATAAAGATGGTAGATATCGGCCCATTCCTTCTGGTACCTTCCCGCATAAAGGGTCAAAATTTTGAATAACCAAAACGATCATAAAATCCGAAATAAGCATCCGGTTTTTCTTGCTAACACAAGATCTGCTATAAAGATGGAACATATCGGTCCACCCCTTCTGGTACCTCCACCCACAAAGGGTCAAAATTTGAAGATCTGTTATAAAGATTGTAGATATCGGGCCATTCCTTCTAATCCCCCTCCCCCACAAAGGGTCAAGTTTTGAATAACCAAAATTATCATAAAAACCGGAATAGGCATTAGGTTCACCTGATATTTCACACATCCCATTCGTTCTTATAGCCCCCATATAAGTGAACCCCCGATATTCGGTATCTTGATGATGTTAACGACATTATTTACCGGAATTATTTCAAATTTTGTCTTTGAAATTCGTAATGGATACTACAGCCTATGACAGAAAATTTTCTCTGCAGGTCCACGTATTATAACCCCCATGGTACCTCCCTATATACGGAATTTTGATAATTTTAGCTACATTATAAACAGATTTTTTCAAGTTTCGCATTTGAATATTGTAATAGCTTGTGACAAAAGTTGCCTATGCAGGTCCACCTCGTCGTATAGACCCTAATATATGGCTACATTCGATATTTTTAAAATTTTAACATAATTTTTAACGGATTTTTTATTTTTGAAAATTGTTAAATTTGTACCAAATTGTGGAGGGTATTCAAAGTTCGGCCCGGCCGAACTTACAGCCTTTTTACTTGTTATTTAGCAAAAATTACCTTTTTTGTTGCATTTGTTTATAGAATAGGATCATTTAAAGTGTTCTTACATCGAAATATCTGAAGCTGGGAATTTTCAATTATTTTTTGGTTACCCTGTATTGAAGTTTATTTAATTCAAATTTCTTAATTCATCTGTAACTAATAAATTGAAATGTAAAAAAAAAATATAATGACTTTATTTTAAATTGATTTTTAAAAATAAAAAGAGGTTTTTATTCCCAACCATTTAATTCGAACCTTACAACCCCATTCACCCAAAATGCTTCAAATAATCCTCTCGTCATTTGTTCTAATTAGTTTTGGTTTAGGCAAAAATTCGCAGGTATTTTTCAAGACAACTAAATAAATTTTTTTCTTCATTAATTTAACCTCCAGATATCCGCCAATTCCTTTAATTTGGAACTCTACAACACGAGCTGGATCGAACACACGGAAAATTTTCTAAAGCAAGGCGGTGGAAATATTACCAAATTGTCCACAAACCATTTCTCGGTGAATTTATGGTTCAAATTCGAACATGATTGGGCCAGGAACACGGAGCTTCGAGTAGTGATTCGTGTTAAACCTCTGAAATCCCCAAAGATTTTGACTTTCTTCGATGCGAAATGGAATGTCTGTGATGTCTTGCGAAGATTTAAGGCTGTGCCCATGGTTGACTATATCTATCAGGAGATGAAAAAGAAATCGAACTTTCTCCGATCGTGTCCCATTAAGGGGGTATGAAAAACCATAGATTTTCAAAATTGTTGCTGGAAATATATATTTCCTTACTCTCTCTCTCTCTCTCTCTCTCTTCCAGAACTATAGCTACTGGGTGAGAAATTTCATAATCTCATCGGATGTCTTTCCCTCGTATACGCCATATTTAAGCTTCAATTACTCATCACTGTACTATGAGAACAAAAAGCTTTGTATCGAACATTTGGTACAGGGGGCAACGGTTCCTAAAATTTAAAAAAAAAATATATTAAAAAAAAAACAAAAAAATATGTTCTTATACCAGATTAAAGACTGAACGTCCTGAATTTTTTGCGTTTTTTTAATAACAAAACCAGTAAAGAAAGTCCTAAAGTCGGGCGGGGCCGATTTTATGATACCCTACACCACTTTGCTAATGTAGTAGAGCTCAGCATAATAATTAAACGTTTTTATGGGAGAATTCAATAATACACGCTATGATTCTAATTATAATTTAAAATTCAAAGTACTAATTTTGCGGAAGCATTTGTATCTTTTAAATTCGGACTTGTATTGCCTATTTGGTGCAAAATTAATTTGAAATCAGATAAATATATATATGGGAGCTATATCCAAATCTGAACCGATTTCGATAAAATTTGGCAAAGATATTTCTGAGCCGTATTTGATATATTTCCCTGAATATCGTTGTTACGGAGTGCATATTACGGCTGTGGGTAACAAATACAACAAATCGGATGAACAATATATATGGGAGCTATAGCTATATCTGAACCGATCTTCAAATTTGGCATACTAGCTTCTAGACTCAATTCGGTCGTATGTGCCAATTTCCATCTCATTTGGGCAAATATTAGACGTTTGGTGCTCAATAAAAGGTAAATCGGACGAAGTTATATATGGGAGCTATATCCAAATCTGAACCGATCTGGATAAAATTTAGAAAAGTTATTTCTGAGCTGTATTGGATATATTTCCCTGAATATCGTTGTTACGGAGTGCAAATTACGGCTGCGAAGGACAAAAATGACAAATCGGATGGGAGCTATAGCTATATCTGAACCGATTCCGATCAAATTTGGCATGCTTATTTTCAGGTCCAATCTGATCGTACGTGCAAAATTCCATACTATTCGGGCTGATATTACACGTTTGGTGCACAATAAAAGGCAAATATGGGAGCTATATCTAAATTTTTGCCGATTATCTCCAATTTTAATAGGGTTCTTCCTTGGGCGAAACAAATTATGTTTGGAAAATTTCACCTCAATCGGATAATAAATACGACCTGCATTTTGTTCACAAGAATACATGGACAGACGGACTGACTTACAGGCATAAATCAACTCAGACAGTGATTCTATGCAGATCATCAAAAGGAACTATGTATCTATCTCGTTTTCTTTTGCCTGTTACAAACAAATGCGCAAAGACATAATACCCTGACCACCTTGTGGTGTAGGGTATAAAAATACTTGGAAAAATTCCTTCAATTTTTTTCTAAAAATTCGATGGAACCTTCTTCGTAAAAAATCCTTTTTAA